CAATGTGAATAAAAACGAGGCTTGTTGTGAACTTTAAACACATTGAATTTTCATACATGTTGTACTTTATTTTTTTCATTTTCTATGTGGTATTACACATCTGTTTAGAAAAGAGGAAAATGATTTAGAATATCATTTATGGTATAGAAGACGGATATCGATTGAAGACAACAAGAGAAAAAAAACATTGTTTCCAATCCATTTCAGTTTGTGCTAATGTCTTTTTGTCTCAGACAAACGATACCTTCATTGAAGTTAAAAAGGACATCAATAACCTTATCAAATAACTGCTCCAATCCTCATCTCTCATTTCAAGTTTTATGACTGACAAAATTGGGAATGCCGATGTCAGAAAATAATTGCAATTTATTGTTTCGAGTGCAATTGCAATGTCGGTTTAACAGCGCATGCAACCAGCACACATATATCGTCGGTATAAACACTATTACCTACTTAACTGTTATATACTAGAATTAATAACCTTTCAGTGCGTGCCCGATAACTAATAAAGTTGGAGTTATTCTGAAATGTTTAGCGATGACATTGTACGTGAGATTATTCAACTATTGGGGGATGTATATTTCCTACAGCTCTTGTTTAACAATATTTTGCAGCGACAGTGAAGTGCATGTTTTGTATATATGACAGTTACGAAAAAAAAAAAACAAAATAAAAAAAAAAATAAAAAACTAAAAAAAAAATAAAAAATAAAATAAAAATAAAAAAAAAACCCAAAGACACATACATAAAAAAAAGGAAACAAATAAATAAACTAAACAAAAAATTTAAAAAAAAAAATAGAAAAAAAAGAATAATAAACAAAATAATAACAATGCCGAATGGATCTGAAAAGAATTAAAACCCAGAAAATATCTGCCAAAGCCAGCTTGTCAAAAGCTCATTGTAAAACTTTAGTTGTATAAATAATGTATACTTACTGATATACTGTCGGTCACGTTCTGGCGGAAGAAAATATTTGTTGTGAATCCAGTAAATGATTTGTAGTCAGAATACTGCCCCAGAAGACACTCCAAAGTGTCTGTGTTATAACTAATACTCTGGCACAGCATTGTCTGAACACACTCCTTCTGACAGCCTACAATTCCGATACCGTTAATTGTCTTCAAAATGCCGGTATCTATACGATATCCTTTTAAATGTTCACTGTTGTCTACCATCTTGCAGTTTGTAGCCACGCCACATTGAATTGTGAGAGATAAATAAATTATGAATAAATTTAACATTTTGTTTATTCACTAAAAACTAAAAACAAATTGTTTTTTTGAAATATGCGATAAAGATTGGTTTCTAAAATAAAACCATGATAACTTATAAAACTTCTTCAGTCGAGATTGGGAAAGACATACAACCTTCCTTCAACAACACTGAAAGAAACATCCAACATCCGGCCTTATGGGTTGATAAGCATTTCAACACGATCTTATCCCAGGTCAGACTTTTTCCATAGCACAAAATAATCAATACAGACCACATGACGATTGTTTCTCAATTAACTCCTACCCACGTGACCAGAATTTATACATACATACCTTCACGGTTCATTATCATATGTTAATTTCGAAAGTGAATGCATGTTGCGAATTTTCGCACATTTAACCGAATCAATGTTCTTTATATGTTTCAGTTTGATATTGTTATGGTACAAATATACCAAGGTCGTAAACACCTATACTAATTTACTGTTTTGGTAAGAATATGCCATGGTCGTAAGTACCAATATTAACCAACAAGTTCAGTACAGGCAAAAAGTTTAATAACTGTCAGAATAAATATCTGCGTGATTTTTGTGATCATAGTAAATATGTATGTGCCGTGTAAGATATATATAAGACATTACGTGAATGACTTTGCCGAGCGAGCTTACTATTTAGTGCATAGTAAATAAATGTCAAATATAAAATCAATATCCATATATGACAGTGCTTTCACACATATGGCTTATACTCTACATTATATTAATAATGTATACATATATTTTTACTTCAGATAACATATATCAATGTAACCTAGGAACAACAACAGCGATAGACAAGTATTTTCATACAACACACTCTGTACAAAACCTGTAAGTGTTGTCAGATTTTGGGACCAGCAAATATGGAGAGCTCCACTCGCTCTGAATGGGCTCTATAATGTCGTTCACCAACATGTATGCTATTTCTGCCTCCATGTGCTTAGCTTTAACATGGTTAACACGTTAGATGTCTTATTAGGTTCATCAGGAAACAGTGGCTTAAACTGTTGTATTAAACGCCTCAACTCCGATCTCTGATGCATCTCTAAGTGCTCCAATTTCCTGTTTGTCAAAATATCAGAATTTTTACAACCTGACACTACACTCACCACTACCTGGCACACAGGTATTGTCCTCACTGCGTGTACTACCATTGTCTGCTTGGACTACCGTAGTTGTGCAAATGGGTGATGTAGGCTTTGCATGTCGACTAACATATTCCTTTGGTACATTTGTTTCTCTTGG